GGGAACAAATCAAACCACATAATAGGAGCAAAGTAACTTTGGTCCTTCAGAGTACTATCATGGGGAGAAAAGTCATTAGAGGTAGCATGTTCAGTCTCTTGGTATAAAAAAGCCCTTGAGGGGTGGGTGGTGGTGCAGGAAGGAGACTTCTAGACCAAAAGAGACAGTCAAATACAAAGCATTAACCTTGATTTTACCCTGGTCCCAAAACAAAAAAGCTATAAAAAATCATTTTTGAGACAATTGGGAATACAGTTGACTCCTGAACAACAGATGTGAACTGCGTGGGTCCACTTACATGCAGATTCTTTTCAGCCAAATGCAGATGGAAAACACAGTATTTGCGGGGTGTGAAACCCGCCCATAGGGAGGGCGGACTTTCTTATACGCAGTTTCCCCCTAAGGACTTGAGTGTACCCAGATTTTGGTATACACGAGGTGGGGGTTCCGGAACCAATCCCCCACATTTATAGAGGGGCAACTGTATTTGAATTTGAACTTAGATGAAGTGACCTGTATTAATTTTTCTTAGGTGCCATAATGGCACTGAGGTTAATTAAGATGTCCGTATCTTTAGGTCATGCATGCTGGAGTATGTAGGGGTAAAGTGTACCCACAGAGATAAAGCTAGTGTGGCAAAATGTTAATAATGGTTGGATTTAGGTGGTATACCAGCCTTTCAACTGTTTTGTATGCTGCAAAATGAAAAGCTGGAGAAAATTTAATTTTAAAAAAAGTTCTTTAACAGTGCCGCACGTGTGAGTTCATGGAGGTAGCCCATTAGTGTTTTAAAGCTAAATTGGCACAATTTGTCATAGCATGATTGAAGCCATTAAAATGGCAATATTATAAAAACAAAATATTGAAAACAAAATGAAACTTGACACATGAGGGAAATGGAGAAAAATAATATGAAATAATGGAAATTTGAGGTATTAGGTATATATAACATCCAAAATAAGTAGCAGGTTTTAAAGTTATAAAATGAAACATGGGCACACATCTTTCATGATTTTCTATAATTCTATCATCACTCAGGAAATATTACCCTGCCTTGGCTATATTTAAAAGACCTATTGAAGCAGCATGCATATATTAAAAAAGCACTTAGCATCATCATTTTAAAATGCTATATTTGCTATCCAAGCAGAATAAAATAAAATAAAACTTTAGCCGAAAGGGAAAAACCGTCAATTATTTGAAATCATGTTTGTACATGTGTTATCTTTTAAAAGAGCAAACACACACACACACACACACACACACACAAACACACACACAGATTTTGTGTCTAAATCACACAAGTCTGATTTAGTACGTTTAACTGAACGTCTTAAATACTCTACATTTAAAGCTGGGGTGTCCAATCTCTCAGCTTCCCTGGGTCACCCTGGAAGAAGAATTGTCTTAGGCCACATATAAAATACAGTAACACTAGTGATAGCTGATGAGCTTAAAAAAAATTGCAAAAAATCTCATACTGTTTTAAGAAAGTTTACAAATTTGTGTTGGGCCACATTCAAAGTCATCCTGGGCTGCATGCAGCCTGTGGGCCGTGCGTTGGACAAGCTTTAAGTATATTTTAACAAGTGAATTTTCAGTGATTATCACAAAACACTCTAAGAACATTCATTATTCTTTTAAACCTGCAGTGAATTCTACCTTTCAAAAGAGGAAAGTGTATATCTAAGATAAACTGTATATTTCCAAAAGAACACCATGTTATTTGTTTTAAACAAATTACCTCTAACATTTTAGAAATCCTAAATGAATGAATGAAAATAAATGCATCAACGAAAAACACCTGATTCTCAGGTCCAAGGGAGGAAAATGTGATCCTAACACTCGTGAAGTCCTACTGTGAGCCAAAATAACAATTGGCATCAGGTTTTAGCTCCTCCTTATAATGGTGATAGGTAATGCTTAATTTAAAATTAGTTCAAAATTGTTTATTAATATACAGTACAGGTAAAACATTTATAACCCATGTTTTAATTTCGTCCTTTAAAATAGTCCAGCATTTATAAAGTTGTTATTATACATAAGAACTGAAAACTAAATGACAATTCTGTGCTCTCTGTATATGTATATATATGTTCTTAACACAGTATCTGATTATAAACATTTTTCCACACTAGATTCATGTTATGTTCAGAATAATTTGACAGATATTCTAAAATTAAAAATGAAAATATATAAATTAAAAGTCTCTGGGCTTGGTGTGGTGGCTCATGCCTGTAATCCCAGCACTTTGGGAGGCCAAGGCAGGCAGATCACCTGAGGTCAGGAGTTCGAGACCAGCCTGGCCAACGTGGTGAAACCCTGTCTTTACTAAAAATACAAAAAAATTAGCTGGGCGTGGTGGTAGATAGCTGTAATCCCAGCTACTTGGGAGGCTGAGGTAGGAGAATTGCTCGAACCCAGGAGGCAGAGGTTGCAGTGAGCTGAGATTGCGCCACTGAACTCCAGCCTGGGTGACAGAGCAAGACTCCATCTCAAAAAAAAAAAAAAAAAAATTAAAAGTCTCTGAAAAGAATTGTTGTTGATTGTATCATCCTCATCAATTCAGAAGGATGTGTATAGAGATGAATGATCTTTGTGTAGTAAGAAATTTGGCCCATCCAAAGAAAGCTCTGGTGTAAGTCTTTGGGAGTTCTCAATGATAGGAATATCTTTATTCATTGTGGGTTCCTCAGGCAACACTTGACAGTTTATGCTAAGGAGATAACCTCTGCTGAGGCCCTGAAGTCTTGATGTCAACCAGATCTCCAGGGAGGGGCAGACGTGGGAAAGAGAGGACAACTACATGGGCAAAAAAAATCAACCATGCCAACTAATAGAGCCACAATAAAAATCTGGACACCAAAGCTTAGGTGAGCTTCCCTGAATGGCAATGCTATGTGTGTACTGTCAAACATTGTGGTCAGGAGCAGATAACACCTTCCGTGACTCTACAAGAAAAGGACACCAACAGGCTCAAGTTTGGACCACTCCTAGACTCTATTTTATGTGTCACTTCCTTTGGCTGGTTTTCATTTGTATTTCCTTTCTCTGTAATAAATATGACTGTGAGTGTAACAGCTTTCAGTAAGTTTTATCTTTCTAGCCAGAATTGAGGGTGAACTTGGGAAACCCCAGAATTTGCAATGACCAAAACACTCTCAGCCATAGTAGAAGCTCAAATCTTTGGTAATTGAGGGCAATTTATTTCTTCCTTGCTGTTTTCTTTTCTAGAGTGTAATCAGTCCTGCCTTAAAGGAATTCTCTTTTTAAAAACTGTAAGAAAGACCAGTATGGGCTGGGTGTGGTCGCTCACGCCTGTAATCCCAACACTTTGGGAGGCCAAGGCAGGCAGATCACTGAAGCTCAAGAGTTTGAGACCAATCTGGGCAACATGGCAAAACCCCACCTCTACAAAACAATACAAAAATTAGCTGGGCATGGTGGCGCGCACCTGTATTCTCAGCTGCTTGGGGAACTGAGGCTCCTGGGAGCATCGCTTGAGCTCTGTCAAGGCTGCAGTGAGCCAAGATTGTGTCACCGCACTCCAGCCTAGGCGATGGGAGGAAGACCTTGTCTCAAAAAAAACCCCCAAAAAACCCCCAAAAAAGCCCACCCCCACCAGTATGATTACTAATGCTAGTCACTATCAGTCTCTTTTGAAAGGCAGTATTGGCTGGGTGCAGTGGCTCATGCCTGTAAACCCAGCACTTTGTGAGGCCGAGGCAGGCAGATCACCTGAGGTCAGGAGTTTTGAGATCAGCCTGGCCAACATGGTGAAACCCCATCTCTACTAAAAACACAAAAATTAATTGGGCGTGGTGGCGTGGCCTGTAATCCCAGTTACTATGGAGGGTGAGGCAGAATTGCTTGAACCCGGCAGGTGGAGGTTCCTCCAGTGAGCCAAGATCATACCACTGCAGCCTAGGTGACAGAGCGAGATGCCATCTCAAAAAAAAAAAAAAAAAGGTCGTATTATCTATAGGTTCAGATTATATTTTTGCGTAGCACTGGAACTTGAGGATTGTGATATATTTCCAACAAAAGAAGTACTGTAATACAAAAAAGATTATTAAACATTTTTAGTTAGTGCTTTTCATGAGAGGTTACCAAAGAAAAATAAACATTTTTAAAATGCTGGCACTTTAGTGATTTTTTACAAAGTATTTTGTGTAAGGTTACTTCAGCAGTAGAGACAGGACTAAAATCCTGTATATTAACACAATTTATCTCCATGCATTCCATTGACGGTCACAATTGAAGCAATTATATCCAAATTATGAAGAAAATATATACCAAACTTCTATAATTACTTAACCTTGAGGCTAGCCTAGAGATATTTAAAACAAAAAATGTTAGGCTGTTATTAACATAAATTCTAACTAGTTTAAATAAACCCAATATTTCTTTTTTTGTTGTTTCAGTTTTTGTTTTTTGAGACAGTCTCACTGTCACTCAGGCGAGAGTCCAGTAGTGTCATCATGGTTTACTGCAGCATCAACTTGCTGGGCTCAAGCAATCCTTCTGCCTCAGCCTCCTGAGAAGCTGGCCCCACAGGTGCATGCCAACATACCTGGCTACTTTTATTTTTAAGATTTTTTGTAGAAACAAGGTCTCCCTATGTTGCCCAGGCTGGCCTCAAATTCATGGGCTCAAGCGATTCTTCTGCCTTGGCTTCCTAAAGTGTCGGGATTACAGGAAGGAGCCACTGCACTTGGCCAACCCAGTCTTTCATGCTACAGTATGGGCTAGAGAAAAGGATGAAAGATCACATGTGATAGTGATAGAGGTACTACAGAGCTAGAGAAAAAGATCAGCAACTCATTTCTGATATATAAAGAGAGAAGACAAATTCATAGGTTAGGTCACAGACACAGGTAAATAGGAAAATAAGGAAATATAGAAAAAGATTTGTATAGAGTTCTTTATGAAAATAATCTATTTCAATAAATCTGTTAAATAGGTAATAGCTGGATACCAAAAATGACAAGAGAAGTTTATCAATTAAAAACCATTTAACAAAAGACCAGTTTATACATTCCTTTCAATTATGTCCATAAAAAATTTAAATATACAAATTACATTCTCAAACCCAAAAGAATCTTTCTAAACAAATGAAATACAGATATAGACAAAGTCAGGATCCAAATTATTTTTAAAAGTTTTTAAATTACAGTAAATTATATTTTGTAATTACAAATGAAACAACAAACTGACAGTTTTATACAACTGTTAAAGTTTCAAAAAGTTCAGTGATGGAGCAATAGTATCACAATTTAAGTAAGCACTGTTCACAAATGTTTATGCTTTTGTAATATACCTATTTTAATTTTGTTAATGAATTTAAAGAGCTAATGTTGAAACAACCAAAAAAATAGAAATGTATTTATTCTTAAAACATCCTAATTTTGCCCATGTGTCTAAAGTTGTGAATAACAGGAACACCCTCCAGAAAAATCAGGTATTTGGTAAAGCAAGGCACATAGGACCAGATTTTGATAAAGGTGCTTGTTCTCTGCTCCTGTAACTACTTTAAATAACCTGGAGATTCATAAGATGACTTTCAATATAGCATAAATAACTTTTATAAACCTTTTTTATGTAACGTATTCACCCATGATAATTAAATATTATAATGTGAATGTGTAAATCAAATGAGCGATGCTAAACCCTTTAAGAAAAAACCCAACTCAGTTTAATGACTGTACAATGAAATTTTAAAAGTTCAATAATTTGATATGTAAGAATAATCAGTATTACAGTAAGTATAGAGAACATAACCAGTTTTCTTTCAGATTATATCTCCTTAGAATCTAAATATTAAGCTACCTTTCCTTCCATGAAATTATGACATTCAATATAAATTGATGTAAACATTTAAGTTTTGCATCTCTAAACTATATATTCCACCATAAAAGTAGCCTATAACATCTCTAAAATCACTTATTAAAGAATTGATAATATAATACTGCCGTGTTGAAACATCCATCTGTTGCATTTCAAACTTTTCTTCCCAAATACCATATTCTTAACTTTTAAAAGAACTATCGATTGGCACTCTTCTCCCATGAGTTAGCACATTTTCACATTGAACAAAGTAGTTGCGTGATAACAAACAAAAAGTATAGGAATTTAAATAATGATGGGAGTCATCATTATAAAAGCTTGATACAGTAAGGCCTGTGGAGGTCATCAAAATACACATCACACACATAAGGAAATGGCATTATCTGTATATGTGACATGATCCTAGGGCATAGGTCTACCTTCTCATGTATGATTACTTTTTTATGAATTAAAAATTATAAACCACATAGCCCAATCTCTAATAAACATTTTCAAACCCACTAGAAAAGCAAAATATAAATTATGCCTGCCCAATAAAATCGTGCTTTGAAAATATACTTGACTACTTTGTCCATTTTTACAATTCTTGTTTACATTTTTATAACTTTCATTAGAAATTTTGAAAATTGCGTTTTGACACCTAAAAATGTGTTACCACTGTAACATGTCTAATATCTAATTTACTTGTATAAGTTTTTTAAATTATTAAAATAGAAACAGACTAAACCTGATTAAATGTGAATGCACACTGCATTAATACATTTAAGTACCCAACCAATACTTCAATGTGCGTTAAACATAAATCATATTTCATCTTGAATTCTGTGCATTTGCAGGATTTAGATTTTACGTAGCAGTAAGTAATAATGTAAGTCTGAATATTATTGCAATCTAAAACTACCATGTTCAAAATGTGGTGAACTTATTAAGCAAATTCTAAAGGGTGGTTACTGAAAATCATGTTGGGAATCCACAAAGTTTGCTTGGTACCAATTTGGAATCACCACCAAAGTGATTTTAAAGATTTGGTAATTTTAAATGCTTAAACTTTGGATGGAATTGATGAGCCCTGCAATCTGTAGATTATTACTGCAAAAGCAAGGTAACACTGCCAGTTCACGTTAGGCAAGTGTACCCAACAGTTTGCAACATAGTATTTTTGAGTCAAATTCTGTTTAATAAAATCCATGAGAGCTATATAAAAATACTTATTTTTTACAGTTTTTATATCTATTAGAACAGTCTTTAAAAATATATACAGTGTAGGCCGGGGACAGTGTCTCACGTCTGTAATTCCAGCTACTCAGGGGCTGAGGCAGGAGAATCCCTTGAACCAGGGAGTGGGAGGTTGCCGTGAGCCGAGATCGGGCCACAGCACTCTAGCCTGGCGACAAAGTGAGACTCTGTCTCAAAAAAAAAAAAAAAAAGTATTTTACTTTTTTCATTCATACTGTGGGTGTGTGTGTATGTAAACATATATATATATTTCTTTTTTTTTTTTTTTGTGAGACAGAGTGTTGCTGTCATCCAGGCTGGAGTGCAGTGGAGCGATCTTGGCTTACTGCAACTTCCAACTGGTGTGTTCAAGAAATTCTCCTGCCTCAGCCTCCTGAGTAGCTAGGACTACAGGCGTGCACCACCATGCCCAGCTAATTTTTGTATTATTGGTAGAGACAGGGTTTCACCATGCTGGCCAGGCTGGTCTCGAATTCCTGACCTTGTGATCCACCCACCTCGGCCTCCCAAACTGCTGAGATTACAGGTGTGAGCCACAGCGCCCAGCCAGTAAAATACTTCTTATACTCAGTAAGTAATTCTGTCTATAGTTAATAATTAAATTAAACCCATATTCAAATTATAGAAAGCATTTTTGCTCACCAAATCTTCTTACCATTTATAATATATTCTCTCTCCCTTTAACCAACTTATTAAATAACTCATGTAATCTGAATCCTCAGCTCCAGTGTTCATTAAAAAGGAAAAAAAACCACTATTTTAAAGCAAAATGGTGGCTCCTTCTCAGTAGCTTTTTTTTTTTTTTTTTTTTTGAGACAGAGTCTCACTCTGTCACCCAAGTTGGAGTGCCAGTGGCACAATCTCCGCTTACTGCAACCTCTGCCTCCCGGGTTCAAGCGATTCTCCTGCCTCAGCCTCCCGAGTAGCTGGGATTACAGGCACGTACCACCATGCCCAGCTAATTTTTGTATTTTTGGTAGAGACGAGGTTTCACCATGTTGGTCAGGTTAGTCTCAATCTCTTGACCTTGTGATCCACCTGCCTCGGCCTCCCAAAGTGCTGGGATTACAGGCGTGAGTCACTGCACCCGGCCTTCTCAGCAGCTCTTGTGGGAACACAGAAGGGGAATTCAAAATTTGGCTACCTCTCCCACTCGTGTGATCAGGGAAGAACAGGCTTATGAGAGACCTAAAAAATTCTTCCGAGCAGCTTTGGATTTAAAGTTATAGCGCTGTTTAAAATAATGTAATATGGCAATCTGGAATGTCTCCAAGAAAAGTCATTCTGGTCTCAGTCACTGACATCTGTACTATTATTTGTTTGAATGTTCTTTTTGTCAACAGTTGTAAAGAAGTTTTTACAGATCAATGAGTAAAATGTTCATTTAATAACTTTCTAACTATATACAGTATATGCTTGATAATTCAAAACTCTCCAAATGTAGATATGATACAATAATTATTTCAAATTATTAAATGAGTATTTAATCCTTTTAAATTACATTTTGAAAATTTAATGGCAATTATAAATTTTAATTTTAAATAATATTAAGGATTTAATCTGATTTACAGAAATGAAATGCAATGAAGAGATTAGGGGCTAACCTCCCATTACTATAAAATTCTCTGGCTAGCACAGGAGCAACTGGATTGCTTTCAGCAGTCTTGAAGCACTAAAATATCTTAAAATTCATATGGAGAAATAGTATGTATCTCTACATTAAATTTAGATATGATATTTATTCTCTGACAAATCAGACCCAGAATATTACTTTATTAATTTTTATGTAATTGAACAAAAAACATTTAGCCATCCTTCATTTAGTAATCTTTTGTATAAATATAAAAATCTCTGATAAGTGAAATGTTTTTTCAAATTATACTTCTATTTTTTCACAGCTTTATAGGTAATTACAATTTTCAAACTTTAAATATTTCATGTGATTTGATATATCTGTACAGAAAGAGTAAGATAAAAACACTTAATAACATTAAATCTAATTTGCAAAAATTGATATCTGACATCTGTTGTGTGCTCTTGCAAAGAGTGCATAGGACATTTCTGCAGCAATCAAAAAGGTAAAATCTTTTTAAACTCAGATTTCAAGTTTTCTCTAATATTCCTTCTAATTCTAATCCCTGGAAATACTTTCAAGTTCTGATTTCTAGATGCAATGTGTTTTGTTACATATACACATATTTTATCCTTAAACTTTTAAAAAAACAGTATGATCAGATTCAGCATGATGATATCTTCACAGACTCTGTAGAAGTCCTCTGTGCAAGATTAATGTCGAGATTCCTAGTGCGCCATCGTGAAAAACCAGTTAAAGATAGTATACAACTATGCTTTAGTGGGATTTCCTGCAGGTTTGGGATCATAACCATATAAAAAAGTAGCTGTTATTACAAGGATGGCTCCAAGGAAAAAGACACTGAATAAGACGAAGACAAAATAAAAAAGAGAAAATCAGATTAAAAGCAGAATAAGTTCCTTCTATTTCTTTACTATAAAAATAATTATAATTTGGGGAAAAATGTTCCAGTAACACAGCTAACAAATCTTGAGTACCTACTACATTCCAGGTATCTGGCTAAGTGCTTTATATGCATTATTTCATTGAGTTCTCACAGCAACTCTATGAAGATGTACTAGTATTCACTTTTTACACATGAGGAAACAGTTTTAAAGAATTTAAAGAACTTGTCTAAAGCCCCATAACTTCAAGAGGATTCAAACTCAGGTATGTCTAACTCTACAGCCTGTACTCTCGTCCACTGCACTATACTGTCTTCTAAAACAAAGATATTTTAACTTCTGTATTTCACCTTAATAGGGATTTTGTATACAATACATTCAATAACAAAAGGTCTTAATTCTTCAGTTGAACATATGAAAGGAAAATTTTATTCTGTCATGTTAAACCAAGGTAAAGTTTAGTTTAAAATCCAAGATAGTAATAAGCAAAACTCAGGACCAATTTTTATAGGATGCTTTACAAAAGGAATTACATTAAATGCAGGGAGTTCTTGGTTTCCTCTTTATCCTATGTATCTATAGATACAGTCTACCTTACGATACATTGGAAATGAAGACTGGATATGTGAACTAGACTAGACTACAAATATTAACTTTTTTTTTTTTTTTTAAAGACAGGGTCTCACTCTGTCACTCAGGCTCTGGAGTGCAGTGCTGTCATCATGGCTCACTGCAGCCTCGACCTCCAGGGTTCAAGCAATCCTCTCAGCTCAGTCTCCTAAGTAGCTGGGACTACAGGTGCAAACCACCACACCTGGCTAACTTTTCTATTTTTTGTAGAGCCGAGGTTTCACTTTGTTACCCAAGCTGATCTTGAACTCCTGGGCTCAAGTGATCTGCCTCAGACTCCCAACATGCTGTGATTACAGGCATGAGCCACTGTGACCAGCCTGAATCTTAACTTTTATTTATTTTTTTGAGATGGCGTCTCTTCTGTCACCCAGGTTGGAGTGCGGTGGTGTGATCTCGGCTCACTGCAACCTCCGCCTTCCAGGTTCAAGCAATTCTCCTGCCTCAGCCTCCCAAGTAGCTGGGATTACCGCTGTGCACCACCACCCGCCGCTAATTTTTTGTATTTTTAGTAGAGACAGGGTTTCACCATGTTGGCCAGGCTGGTCTCGAACTCCTGACCTCAAGTGATCTGCCTGCCTCAGCCTCCCAAAGTGCAATCTTAACTTTTAATGTGTACATTTTTTAAAATGCTATTATAGAGACATAAGCTAGTTTTGGATTTAAAGTTTCTACTAATAATCCAAAGCCATGCTCCTGTTTTTTTTTTAATTGTCTGTAAATGAAAAATAATTACTAATCATTATTAAAAGGCCCTTCATAATATGGTCCCTCCAAACTCATCCTCCCCACTTCATGCCACCCAATCTATAATTCAGCCACTCCACTCAGTGAACACAACATACACCTTCTTGACAGTGTCTTTAGAGATACTATTCCTTCTGTCCACAGTTTCTTTGCTTCTTAGAAAATCCTTATTCATAATTCAGGTCTAATGTCTCCAAGACTCACTCCCCTAGGCAGAACTCCCCTAGCATAACACTTACCACACTGCCATTAAATGATGCATAAGTCCACTCCCCTGCTCAACCACGTGCTCTTCATTCACTGTGGTACCCACAGTGCCTAGCATATACAGGGAGCTCAGTAATTATCTGTTATGATTTATAACTAGATTTGACTTGATGCAAATGGTTAACTCTTCAAAAGACTTGCAGTTATACATATAAAGTTATTAGGATAACATAAAACATCCTATAATGTATCTTGAAGAAATTGCTACCACATTAATATTTGGTAATTATTAATTACTAGACACTGTCTTCATTAGTCATTATGAACTATTCTTAGCTTTCTGGAACTTTGGAATGGCATGGACTGAAAGTTCATGCTCAACTGAAAGATTCTATGGTCTACCTTTGTATCCACTGCAGGAATCCTTTCTATAATATCTTTAGCAGGATCTACTTGAATACCTAATAATGTCAGGAAACACCTGTTTCTCAAGCCAGCAATTTTTAGATGGTTCTGAGAGAGAAAATTGTCCCAGAAAAAAATATATATATTAGGAAAAAACTATCAGAATGTAATGATTACTTCAAGGATCTGAGCCCCCTCTAACAGAATTATTATATGTATACTTCCATTGTTGCATTGAACATACTGTTATAATTCATTTATTCACATCTGTCTTTGCAATCACTTGATGGTCACCAAACCTTGATGACCTTGAAGACAACAAATTGTGTCTCATTCATGCACTCCTTTTCCAGGAGCTAGCACGGTGGCCAGCAGGCACATAGTAGACACTTAATAAACTTTTGATAAAAGAATAAGCAACCCTAAATGGAAGAATGGTAACACCAATAAGCAAAATAACAAGCACAAGAAAAATAATTTAGGGAAGTGGGTAATGGTGATATTGTATCAATGGAGATGTCTAACAGTCAATAGAATAAAGGGATCTAGAGTTTAGGTGAAATTTGAACTTATCTTCCTAGAGAAGACAGATATGACATGGCAGTGGATGAGATGGCCGAGAGAGGGAGCAAGGATTGACAAGCTACCAAAGGGACAATCAGAAAGGCAAGTATAGGCATACCATTTCAGAGAAGCCAAACAACCAACCAACCCAGTTTCAGGAGGTGGAATGAGGCTAAAGGCAAATATATTATTACATTTAGGATAGAATTGAATGAAAATTGAGAAAATGTCACTAGATTTATTACTGAAAATGTATTATCCACAAAGGTAAGATGCATAAAGACAGAGGGCTTAGTTACCTATTTTAGGAAAAAGAATCCATCTTCTCCATCTGGCTGAGTGTCCTGAGCATATTCTCAAAATATTCATTCATTCATTCGTTCGTTCATTCATTCAATAATGGCAGTATCATTGTCTTTTCTCTTTCTATCTTCAACCCAACAAACCTTATATACTTCCTCAGAAACATGAATTTACGGGCAGGCATATATCTCATTGCCAAACTACTACTCTTTTGTCCCTCTGTTGGCTTACTTGTTCATTTATTTGTTTATTCTCTGCATAATTCAAAGATTTAATTACCTCAGCCTTACATAAGGTTCTTTAAAAAAAAAAAAAAAAGGTATGATTTTTAAAGTAAAATCTAAAAATCTGCAAGGTGCAAACATTCTCAAAGTACATTAAAACATATGATTTCCTCATCTTATGAACAGGGAATACGATTAAGGTTACAAAATTAAGATATAAGTGTTCATTGTTAGTCTAAGTCTCACTAGCTAAGTGATTCATTTCCATACAAAGCTGAAAACAGAAATGCTTTTAAATTTTTATCTCATAAGAACTACAAATCTCAACATGTATGTTCCAGACCTATTGTCTAGATTGCTAGAAAAGAATTAAAACCATCAAAGTTCAATATAAAAATATAAAAAGGATATTATATTTTTATAGTGCCAAATTCCATCCATAATCCTATTTCATTCTCAAAAACACAAATGAGTTCGGCGCAGTGGCATATGACTATAATCCCACCACTCTGAAAGGCAGAGGTGGGAAGATTGCTTAAGGTAAGAAGTTCAAGATCAGCCTGGGCAACAAAGCACATCTGTAGTCCCAGCTACCCGGGAGGCTGAGGCAGGAGGATTGCTTGAGCCCAGGGGTTTGAAGCTGCAGTGAGCTATGACCATGCCACTACACTGCAATCTGGGTGACAAACTGAGATCCTGTCTCAAAAATATAAACATATAAATAATAAAGTAATAAATAAATAAAAGATCCTTGGGAGATTCCAAAGTTTAGAGGTTGAGAAAATCAGGAGAAGAGTAAAGTTGGAGGAAAACCAAGAGTGGTGTCCTGGAAACAATTAAAATTTCCCACTAGTCTGGGATTATAAATTAAACAAAATACTAGAATTTTCAATGCTGTCTGTAATGGATATTCATTACACTCAATTTTTCCTGATGCTATCTCCTCCCTTAGCATCCATAAAACTACAGAGTCCTGGGTCTCCTTCCTCACTTATAACTCCTCCTGCAATTCCTTTCCAGTCTGCTCTTCCTGCTACCACCTAATTGAGTTTCCTCATGAGCCACATTCTCTATATAAACTGTCTTCTTCTCATGTAAATTCCGTATTTTAAAAATGTCATTACATGACTTATTTTTATGACTTTATATGACTTATTAACTTTTTTATATCACTTTTTTTTACTTTGCAGGGAAAATATTCACATCTATTTATTGGGAAAATTCTGGCCAGCCAAATTTGTATAAAAAACTTTTCAGAAGAAGACTTTATTTCATGACTTTAATTTGAAATATTTTTAAAACATAGTTAAATAAATTTTTAAAATTATATTTCAATGCTTCTTCAAATTTATCAGATCACCTTACGGAGAATTCTAATTTTTCTATATACTTTTGGGGATTAAAAAAATAGAAAAGAATATTTTACCTGGTTGGCACAAAATCTTGAAGCCAAAAATAGGAGATCAATGTTGATAATATTATCGATAAAGAGGTTGCAAATCCTTTTAAAATATTATCTGCATACTTAATAACAGCAGCTATTACAAGGCCTCCAAGTGCCTGCAGAAGTTTTAAAAAAATATTTTTTAAAACACACATATAAAACTGCATTTCAAAACAATTTCATTATTTAATAAAGCTTTAAGCTTTTGTCCTATAAATTCAATCCCATTATAGTAAGGGATTGATTTTAAACATCTCTCACAACAAATAGACTTACAGGTTTTGTTCAATAGCCCTCTTATTTCAAAAGGCATTTAATAAAAGTAACTACCAGGATAATCTGCAGTTTGTTATAATGGAGTTTGACCATATTGCAAATAAAATGTCTATCATTATCCAATTTAGTAATTAAACATCACTTGTTTGGACAAACGTGAGAGGACTGGTCACTTTAAATAGTAAAATATTTTTACTTTTGAGTAAAATTAGTAATCAGAGTCATTTTACAGCCTTTCAATAGCCTCTTAATTTGACTTTTTTCCTATAGTTTCTCCCCGTTCAATTCCACCTTTTATTACTGTCAGATTAAGTTTTCTAAGGCACAATTTTAATTGTGCTCTTTCTTTAAGACTGTAGAAAGAACTTTCTACCTAATCCCTCTCAAATTCCCAATTGTAGCTACTTTAATAATGAGGTTTTACTATACTACACAGTTCTGCTTTCTGCCAAAGACTACTTAACATTTTCCAAATCTGGGTTACCTACTATAACAACTTTCAAAACACCTCTTCTATGATGGAAGCTTTATTTAGAGAAAGTCATAAATTATGCCAGTTGAGCTTACTACAAATTAATGTTTCAGTCCCAATATTTTTTGGCAATGTTGTCATTCATCTGTTTACTCCCTATTGAATCCTTCATACCAGTTATACCAAACATTTTTTATTTTTCTCATATCTTCAGCCCCTTTTTAAGGGAAGGGGGCTTCTTCTCTTTGCTGGAATAAGATACATCATACATAAACTCTCTTGACTCACCCTATCTCTGCTTCAAATTTTCTTTTAATTATTTTTTTCAAATTTTCACTTATCCTTGTCTCCTTTTCTGCTATCTTAAAAATAGAAGTATCCGGCTGGGCGCGGTGGCTCACGCCTATAATCCCAGCACTTCGGGAGGTCAAGGTGGGTGGATCACGAGGTCAGGAGATCAAGATCATCCTGGCTAACATGATGAAACCCCGTCTCTACTAAAAATACAAAAATTAGCTGGGCGTGGTGGCACATGCCTGTAATCCCAGCTACTCAGGAGGCTAAGGCAGGAGAATCACTTGAACCTGGGAAGAGGAGTTTGCAGTGACACAAGATCGCGCCACTACACTCCAGCCTGGTGACAGAGCTAGACTCCATCTCCAAAAAAATGAACAAATAAACAAATAAAAATAGAAGTATCCTACCTGCTTTTAAAACACAACTATCCTGGCCGGGCGCGGTGGCTCAAGCCTGTAATCCCAGCACTTTGGGAGGCCGAGATGGGTGGATCACGAGGTCAGGAGATCGAGACCATCCTGGCTAACACGGTGAAACCCCGTCTCTACTAAGAAATACAAAAAAAAAAACGAGCCGGGTGAGTTGGCGGGCGCCTGTGCCTGTAATCCCAGCTACTCGGGAGGCTGAGGCAGGAGAATGGCGTAAACCCGGGAGGCGGAGCTTGCAGTGAGCTGAGATCCGGCCACTGCACTCCAACCCGGGCGACAGAGCGAGACTCCGTCTCAAAAAAATAAAAATAAAAAAAACACAACTATCCTTTGCCACCTTCACCTTCCTTTCTGGAGCCTTGCTTCTTAGGCTTCAAATATCTCTAGAAGAATAGGAGGCTCTAAGGATAGTGACTTGTGTCTTCATTTTTATATCCTCTAGAATTCTCCATATGTATTTTTTAAAGATGTAATTAATTACTCAACCCTTGAACAATTCCAAGCTATATATAAACTGAATTTGACAGACGTTTTCCAATATGTAACTACAATATGAGGCTATGAATTGTCACAATTAAATATCCAGATCTGCTTCTTGGGTCTTAATGGCTGACCCAGACTTCCTGCACAATGATAAGACTTATAGAAAAATCCAAAGTTATATTTGCCTTAACCTTCAGCTCTTTTATTCTTAAACCCGTATTTTCATTATGTTACATTTAAATACCACAAAGTTCATTAAAGATCCCTTTTCAAAATAAGATTTCATTACAGCATTAAGATCACTTCTATTCTAACTTCCTTGAATAAACTAGATACGAGAGCACTAACAGTAGTGACCTTTTCCCCTCACATCAGCATATCAGGAGCTACTTTGATTCTCTATATTAAAATAGAGTTTATTAACATTAAATCTAAGACTTTAAATGCTTTACCTGAAGAACAACTACTATCCAGGTCAGTCGGTTATATCCCTGAAAAAATCCATTCTTTGATACCAGTTCTCCATCATAAATGTATACACCCATTAATCCAAATATACTTCCAAAGAAACCTAAAAAAAAGTAAAGTCTACATGATGTATCATTTAGTTTTTCTGAAGAGAAATATTTTTTCCACTGACATTCCAAATAATTTTATACTTAACTTTTTCTTTTTGATAAAATTAGATTACTTTTTTTTTTTTTTTTGAGACGGAGTCTTGCTCTGTTCCAGGCTGGAGTGCAGTGGTGTGATCTCGGCTCACTGTAACCTCCGCCTCCCAGGTTCAAGCAATTCTCCTGCCTCAGCCTCCTGAATAGCTGGGACTACAGGTGCTTGCCACCACGCCTGGCTAATTTTTTGTATTTTTAATAGAGACGGGGTTTCACTGTGTCAGCCAGGATGGTCTCGATCTCCTGACCTCGTGATCCACCTGCCTCGGCCTCACAGAGTGCTAGGATTACAGGTGTGAGGCACACGCCCAGCCAAAATTAGATTTTTTAAAAAATCTTTACTTGGTTTTGTATACTTAACAAAAGTATACTTAGTTTATGACTATAAGACAAAGACATACAAATGTAAAAAGACAAAGACAGAATATAAAAAATAACAGACATTATCAACTTTGGAGCACTAAAATAATACAATGCACAAATTAGATGATTACATGGCTAGCCCATTCAAATATGTGCAAATTGCTCACATTTGGAATATGTCATTGTTCTTCCACCTTCCTCTTGCTAGATCTAGATTTTCATATATTCACATTGGTACATACAAATATAAAAGCTCAGGCAGGGAGTACAACATTTTTCCTTATTAAGAAGTTTCGAGAGTGGGCACAGTGGCTCACGCCTGAAATCCCAGCACTATGGGAGGGCAAAGCAGGAGAATCATTTGAGCCCAGGAGTTTAAGACCCGCCCAGGCAATGAAGCAAGACTCTATCTCTACCAAAAAATTTTAAAATCAGCTAGGTGTGGTGGTGCACGCCTGTAGTCCTAGCTAATCAGGTGGCTGAGGTGGGACGATCACTTGAGCCCAGAAGTTTGAGGTTACAGTGAGCTATGATTCTACCACTGCATTCCAGTCTGAGCAAAACAGCGAGACTGTCTCTAGAAAGTAAATAAAGTTTTGTTTTGAAAGTATAACTAATAATTAATACCCAAAAAATCACAGCTAAGAAACAGTCATAGAAAACATTAGATTCTGTGTTACTGAAGCTTCACTGTTAGAGAAAGTCAACTTGGTAAGAGCAGAAACTGTCTTGTTCATGTTGAATCTCACCTCAAAAACAGTCTATCACATGACTATTGGAATAAGAGACTCCCGGAAGCATTGCTAGGCTATAAATAAAGAAATTCATGCTGACAGGGACCGCTTTTTATGGGTAGCCTTTGAAATATATGCAGTTAAAGAGTGCAAGGGTAAAGCAATTTTTAAAAATGAAGTCATAACTAATCAAAGTATTCCACAATAGAAAGGAAGTGAAAAGGATGTGAAATGCTCTAAAATTCCATTTAAGTCAGCTCTATCCTTTTAATGTCTAATTTCAAACATGAAATTAATGCTGGCATATAATTGCCAAAACACATCTGATGGTATTTTATATGATGGTATTATATATATAAAATATGTACGTGTGTATATATATACACACACACGTAAAAAATACCATCAGAAGAGTTTTATATATAATATATATAATATGTATATTTTGAGATAGGATTTTACTCTCTCACTCAGCAGGCTGGAGTGCAGAGGCACAATCACAACTCACTGCAGCCTTGACTTCTTGGACTCACGTGATCCTCCCACCTCAGCCTCCCAAGTAGCTTGGACCACGGGCACATGCTACCACACCTGGCTAATTTTTGTTTTTTTTTTTTTGTTATTGTTTTCTGTACAGAGTTTTGTAGTGTTGCTCGGGCTGGTCTCCAATTCCTAAGCTCAAACAATCCACCTTCCTCAGCCTCTCAAAGTGCTGGGATTACAGGCGTGAGCCACCGCATCCAGCCTTACACATATATATATTTTTTTTAAGAAACAGGGTCTCACTATGTTGCTCAGATCTCAAACTCCTGGTTCTCAAGCAATCCTCCCATCTCAGCCTCCCAAGTATCTGGGATTAGAAGCACAAGCCACCACATCCAGTAAAGTTTTTTAATTTATGAAAGTAAGACTTCGTAATTACCAAAAAAGTATACATTATAGAAGGATACATACATGTCATACATGTCAGCATGAACAGGTCTACTGCATTCTAACAGTTGCATAATATTCCTTTGTATGGATTATAATAGCAAATATGTATGTATCAGCATGTAACAGGAATTATTCTAAGTGCTTCCTGTATGTTAACTGATATACAACACTATGAGGTAGATGTCTATTTTATAGATGAAGAAACTAAAGCATAAAGAGGTTACATAACTTGCCCAAGCTCACACTACTGGTGCTCACACTACTTATCTATCTTATAGGATAGATCCTTATCCAGACTTGGAATTCTTACATTGCAGCCTACACATATTTAAAATTTTAGCAAATATACCAAATATTCCCAAATTGAAATCCAACATGGTTATATCAATCTATACTCCTAGGAACAATAGGTAATAGAGTTCCTGCTTCTCTATTCTCTAGCTAAAATTGGATCTTATCATGTTAATCTTTGACAATTTGATGTTTGAAAAATGCTATTACATTGTTTTAATTTGTTCTTATAATTTTGAATTGTAATAAGCAATTATTTAAGTATCTTTTTAAAAACGTTAAGCCTGTTACCATTTTTTTTCTATGAGCATTAGAGCTTATGAGGTCACCAAATAATAAGAAATCCATGAAGCACATTAGAACCATGAATTCTGATATGTCTTCCATTTTTATCTTACAATTCAAGAAAAGTTTAGGCAAATCACACAAACCTTGATTATTTCTTTTTCTCTGATATTGTATTTTATATAAATAGTTGACATTTATTAGTGCTTACTATACGTAAGATACTTTATTCTTGACTCACTGTAACCTCTGCCTCCCAGGTTCAAGCGATTGTCCTGCCTCAGCCTCCAGAGTAGCTGGGATTACAGGTGCCCACCACCATGCCTGGCTAATTTTTGTATTTTTAGTAGAAATGGGGTCTCATCATGTTGGCCAGGCTGGTCTTGAATTCCTGACCTCAAGTGATCCGCCAGCCTCAGCCTTCCAAAGTGCTGGGATTACAGGTGTGAGCCACCACACCTGGCCTAGACACTTTATTCTAAACACTTCACATATAGTAATTTCATTTAATCCTCATAGTAATATATGAGATAGGGAGTAAAATTTAGAACATTTTGCAGATGAGGAAAGCGAAGCAGAGAAAGAAGTAACTTCCCTAAGGTCACATAGGTGGTAAGTGATGAAACCAGGATTTGAGTGGTCTGATTTCAAAACTAAGTATTCTTAACCCCTCTGCTATAGACACATTATTTCTGAAAGATTGAATTAAACTGCTTAATGCTTTTCATGCCTGTGAGCTTACTTTCTCTAGACAAACGAAAGAAGCTAATAAAATTTTGCTTTAAAAATATTTACCTTGAATGTTCTTATGAAAAAAAAAAAAGACATTTCTACAAATTTTGCAGAGAAACTTAAAGAAATCCTATGTGATTAAAATGAAGGTGCAATCTGTTATTACATTACTTGAAAACAGGTGGAAGGATGAACTGTAATAAAATTTGGAAGATTTGACATAAAATATAGGCCATTAGGAGTACAGACAATTTAGGGCCTAGAGGGGCCTTTATGACTGCTGATCAAGATAGACATGGTGCAACAGAGCCACACTACCTGAATTCAAATACTGAGTGCATTACTTACCAGTAATGTGAGCTTGGGCAAGTTATTTAACCTCTCTGCACTTTAGTGTATAAAATGGTATATGGACAGAAAAAAAAAATAGTGGTTTCAAAGGTAAACCTCAAAGTCACAAGGACAAAAGCTTAAAATAGAATGTGTTGATTTTCAGATGAGCTGCTTTTCACATGGGCAGTTCTATATGACATCACCCAAAATGAATGTATGCCAGGAATACTAAATGCTGGAATCTTCGTAGGGGGATTTAAATATTACAATACTAAAAGAAGTTTAAATATTTTTCAAAGGCTTCAATATAAGAGATTTTTTTCTTTTAAACTATTTACCTTCAGTTAGAAAAATGCTGCAGTATTTAAGAGCTAAAACATAACATTTTAAAATAAAACAGCACATAAGATTTTAAAACAGAGGCCAGGCACGGTGGCTCATGCCTATAGTCCCAGTGCGCTTTGGGACTATAGCGCTTTTGGGTGGATCACCTGAGGTCAGGAGTTCAAGACCAGCCTGGCCAACATGGTAAAACTCTGTCTCTACTAAAAATACAAAAATTAGCTAGGCGTGGTGGTGGGCACCTGTAGTCCCAGCTACTCTGGAGGCGGAGGCAAGAAAATCACTTGAACCCGAGCAGTGAGCTCAGATCGTGCCATTGCACTCCAGCCTGGGCAAAAAGAGCGACATCCCATCTCAAAAAAAAAAAAAGATCTTAAAACAGAGACAAAAAAATCATCATTTCAAACTTCCTTAATTATCTTAATCATCCTTTCCAGGAATAAAATATGTAAGCTATTTGCAAAACCTTCTGGGAAAGAAGTGGCAACCAAGGATAAAGTTACTAAGGCTCTAAATAGTGAAGACAGATATGGGCTACGTATACCTTTATGTCACAGATCTAAGTTTTTCATATTCTTAAATAAAAGGTGTTCATTTAAACTAAAATGTTTTAAAAGACAAGAACATTGCCAGATATTTGGATCAACAGCAGATTTTATGCAAGGCTCATTTACTTAAAGATGTATAGACATCTTTAAATATAACAATATAATCACTTTTAAAAATAATATGAGAAAACATTTAAAACTTACCAAGCTGAATATTCCTTATCCAAACTGATTGTTTTGTTTCTTTTAAGATTTTCTCAAAGTAAACCCCAGCAAAGCCACTTGAAAAACATGCTGTGAGAACTGCCATGAGTCCTACAAACTGAGAACCAGCTGACAGTTCCTTAGAGTCAAGCTGAGAATCTGAGGGCCACTAAATAAGAAGAAAAGTAAAATTGCAGTTTAATTCCTATAACATTTTACATAAACATATTGAGAGCCCACTCTTAGACCATAACTTAAAAATGCAACCAATATCATTTTTGGGATTGCAAAGGAGAGCTTTAAACATAAAACCTTACAATCATTTGATTTTTTTCCTCACAGTGATAATATATTACTATTACAACTTATAATTTCAAAAAGTACCTTAGAAATAATAAATATTTTACATTTCATCTCTTACAGAGACCAATGTTACCCTGAGATAACTCCTTAAAGTTTAATTTATTAAAAAGCACCATCTCAAATATAGGTAGAAGAAAGGAGGAGAATCTCACATCCCCATCTGCTGTATCAGCAAAAGTAGAGATCAGCTGAAAAGTGGTGTGCTAAATCAAGCATAATAAAGGGAAGCTGTTGGGAGGTGAACCCCAAACACTGTCAGGAAAAGATAGTCCATCAGACAGTGAAGGAAAACTCTGAGTACAAGACACTGGAAAATGAAATGTGTTGGAAGGGACTCCAGGATCATTGCACCAGGGATGGTACCCCCTGGCTTAGATGTTACCCTTAATCTAATCAATTGATATCCTATAACTACTGTTAAATTTTCTTTTGCATCTATTTCTTCCCTCCTCAGTTTGATCTTCTATTAGTTGGACTTCTTTTTTTGAGACATGGTCTCACTCTGTCACCCCAACTGGAGTGCAGTGCATGATAACAGCTCACTGCAGCCTCAACCTCCCTGGGCTCAGGTGATCCACCTTACCTTCCCCAGTAGCTGGGACTACAGCTGCACACAACCACACTCAGTTAATTTCTGTATTTTTTGTAGAGACAGGGTTTTGCCATGTTGCCCAGGATGGTCTCAAACTCCTGGGCTCAAGCAATCTGCCTGCCTTGGCCTCCCAAAGTGCTAGGATTGTGGGTGTGTGTGAGCCACCACATCCAACCTAGCTGGACTTCTTAAAGCCATTTTTCCTTCTGAAACTGTACTTTTCATAGCTACCAAAGACTTTTCAATCAATATGTTAACTAATTTTTAATAATAAAATTGTTCATTCTCTATTCAGCTTGCCTTCACCACAGAATTAACACTACTGACTACTCATTCCTTACCTCTTGAAATGACCTGCTCTTTTCCGTGTTCTCTTCTCTAATCTTTATATTTATTCTAGTCAACAGACCCTTTCGATGATGGAAATGTTCTGTATCTTCACCCTCAATAGGGTCATCACTATCTTTAAGTGGCTACTGAGAACTTGAAATGTGGGTAGTGTGACCAAGGAACTGAAATTTTTATTTAATTTTAACTAATTAAATTTAAATAGCTACATATAGCTTGTGGCTACCCTATTGGACAGTGTAGTGCTACAGCATATTTATAGGAATCCCCTCTACCCTGGAGAGCTGATTCACAGAAGCACTGGCATCTCTTCTGAGCTCAAGTCCAAAATTTTCAGTTGCTGCTATCCAGAAACTTCTCAAAGCCAATGTGACTAAAATGTACCCATCCCTCTTCAAAGCAAACATACCTTTTGATACCTTTGTATCTATTAAAAATGCCACTATTCAAACTTAAGTTTCTTGATCTCCTTGCTCTCCATTCTCTATGATATTTATTAGTCTAACACTCATACTGATTCTTCCCTTGGAACAACTCTTACATCGCTGCTGTGGGACATTCCAATCCCATTAACCTGACAGTTTAGGTCATTGTCATGCTTTCTAATTCCTCTCCATTCCTTCAGTCTTTCTTCCCACCAATCTACCCTGCATGCCTATAGGAGTTCTCTGATATGCCTCTCTCCCTTCCAACTCTCCAGTGAGGCCTTACAGCCAAAAGCAGTCAAGCCTAAGCTCCTGGCTCAATACTGAAGACCACATATAATCTAGGACCAATCTGTATTTTGTAATTTCATCTCTCACCATATCTTTGTCAATTATTTGTTCCAATCAAAGAAGACTATTATCACTCCTTAACTTATCTTGTGCTTATCCACAGATCAACATCTGTATTTTTTTTTAAACATACCTTTTATGTAATACTTTTTCTGCTGTTTCCAACCTACTAAAACACAAATAGTGAAAAGATTTGGTTCTGGCTCTGCCACTACTAGATTGGGATCATAAGCAATTTCATTAACCTCTCTGAGTCTCAATAACTCCTCTGTAAGTTGGGAAGAATAACATATCTACCTTAAACAGTTGGGTATAACATGAGATTATAAAGGATAACCACCAAGTGGGGCACCTGGCACATAAGTACTCAGTATGCAAATTTCATTATAATTATTACCTTTCAACACCTAATTTAACTCCAATATCATCCTTGAAGATTTCCCAGGAGTCATCTGTACTTACAGGCTATAAAATCAGTTGACAACTAATCACGTAAAAACAAATATCATTTGTTTTTCCTGATCTTAAACTGTGTTTTGAGTCTTGCTAATTAGGCACTATGAATGGAAGGAGCAGTGAAACACAGCTGCTGCCTTCTAGGAATTTAAGTTGTAGGGGTAAACAGACATACAAATGAGCAATTACCTATAATATAAGTACTTCGGAAAAGATATGTACAAAGTACTATGGTGGTAGAGAAGAAGGCATAAATGTTATGCCTGTGATGTTATGCCTCAGCTGAGTCTTAAAGGTAGGAGTTAGCCAGGCAAAGAAAGGGGAGAAGGCATTGTAGGCACAAGAGAAAGAATGGATAAATGCTCAGCTGTGCAAAATAGCCCCTACAAGCAGCTCAGTTGTAGCAATTCAGAGTGTGAAGTATGCAGCAGCAGAAATGAGTCTGGAACTGTAGGTACATTTCAGAAGGTTCAATGTGTCACACTAATCACTCTGAGCTTTATCCTATAGGTCTGTGTTCCTGAAGCTTCAGTTATTTGCCTATCATTTTCATGGTTTTGTCAAACTAATGTTCCACCTGAACTATTAATAACTTTCTAATTTAAAATACCTTACTGTTTGAAACAATGCCTACTTTAGCTTACCCTAAGCAATATTTATGAAAATATGAATTTGATATGCCACTTATACTTTTGTAATACTCATTTAAAATAAATATTAAAAATATTAGCCTGGGCACATTGGCTCATGCCTGTAATCCCAGCACTTTAGGAGGCCGAGGCGGGTGGATCACGAGGTCAGGAGTTCGAGACCAGCCTGGCCAACATAGTGAAGGCCCATCTCTACTAAAAAACACAAAAAATTAGCCAGGTGTGGTGGCAGGCACCTGTAATCCCAGCTACTTGGAAGGCCGAGGCAGGAGAATCGCTTGAACCCGGGAGGTGGAGGTTGCATTGAGCTGAGATTGTACCACTGCCTTCCAACCTAGGACAAAGCAAGACTCCATCTCAAAAAAAAAAAATTAAAAATTTATTCACGATATGAACACCACACTTCAGGGAAAGTGATGACATGAACTGAGGAATTATCAGGATATAAGTATTAATAAAACCTTCCATCAGAACAAGTATCACTGAGGACTAAAAATAATCATCATCATAATAAATAATAAGATCAAGTACGGTGGCTCACATCTAACACTTTGGAAGGCCGAGGCAGAATGATCACTTCAGCCCAGAAGTTTGAGACTAGCCTGGGAAACATAGTGAGACCCCGTCTCTATATAAATTTTCTTTTTTTTTTTTTGAGACGGAGTCTCACTGTGTCACCCAGGCTGGAGTGCAGTGGCTGGATCTCGGCTCACTACAAGCTCCGCCTCCCGGGTTCACACCATTCTCCTGCCTCAGCCTCCCGAGTAGCTGGGACTACAGGCACAGGCGCCCGCCAACTCACCCGGCTAGTTTTTTGTATTTTTCAGTAGAGACGGGGTTTCACCGTGTTAGCCAGGATGGTCTCGATCTCCTGACCTCGTGATCCACCCGCCTCATAAATTTTTTTAAAATTAAAAAAAAAATTAAAATTAACACCCCCCCAGAATAGATGAAATCTCCAAAAATAAAAGTATACCTTAGAAGAAATAACAAACCTGCAAGCAACCCCAGTATTTAAAGGGAGTCTCACAGAAGAGATCCCTATGAAGAAAACCAACAAGGAATCATTAGAAAGATAAAAGAACCAGGAAAAAATGGTATCGTGAAGCTGATAGAAAATAAAAAGGGAGTGGCTAATAATCTCAAATGCTACAGATATCCAGCAAAAATCAACTGCATTTCTTTAAAATGCAGTGTCTTATTTCCCTAATTAGAATGTTCATTTCTGTAGGTAATATAATTTTATTTTGATTAATTCCTCTGTATTACTTACACTCCCAATGTAGTATGTCACACAAAGGAAGCCCTCAAAACATATGTTAGTTGTGGTGAATAACATTTGCTGGTTTCAAGAAGCAATAGAACCATATTCTCTACACAAAATAAATAAGGGTTTGAAACCACGATAAAGATAAAAAAATACTTATCTTGAATAGTTACCTGCACAAAAGCAACTCCTGTCATCAAAATTACTAGGGACAGCCACTGGTATACACCCAATTTTTTACTAAGCATAGACACAGAAAATAATGCTGTTGTAAGAATTTTCAACTGATATGTGACCTGAAAAAGAAAACAGTAATAGTATTAATGTTTGCTTGTTTGTTTGTTCCTTAAGAGTACTATTAGAAATGTATTTTAAGGACTATGGCAGCATGCCTGGTGGTTGCACCTGGCTGGGAACTGGGATCTAAAGCTTCAGTTAATGCCAGTCTCAGGAATCTGTACTATGTACCAGAGAGCTTTGGACACTTTAGGCAATAATGCAAAATGAATTAAACTTTCTTATTGTAAATTCGGTTGCAACAGGCAAGCAAAGACAAAATTATCTCCACAGCCACTGCCACTCTTGCAGGTACACAATCATGTAATCTAGGAGCCTGGGTATCAACCTGCCCCACCTGCCACAGATAGCACCTGTGCAGACCACCCAGGGGCCTGAGGACAAGCCTGCCCCACCCACCACTGCTTGCATAGGCCTCCAGGGACTTGAAAATGAGCCTGCTCTGTTTACTGCCCATGCATGCCTCCTGGGGGCTAGCGACTGACCTGAACAACCTGTTGCTACCACTGCTGGCACCCACCCACGCACACAAACTGGGGACCTGAACAATGGATTGCCTAGCCCTATGCTTTCACCACTGGCACTCATGTACACCACTTGGGGACCTAAGATTGGCCTACTGTTGCTCCTGCTACTGCCAATGCCACACATGCCACTCAAGAACTGGAAGACCCACCCACCTGCCCAGCCCACTGCTGCCTCCAGCAGCACTAAAACAAGCTGCTGGGAGGCCCAAGGCCCAGCCACCTGAACCTACCACTGCTAGTATCTGCATACACCTCCTGGGGACCCAAGAGCCAGCATACCTGGTCCATCACTGCCACCACTGGAGCCTGCCTGGCATCCCCACCCCCAGCAAAGCCTTGCCACAGTCCCCACTAACAACTTCAGTTGAAGCCACTGAGGAACCAGACAGACCCCACTGACATTGATTATAGCCAAAGAAATCATATAGAGACTACATATTATTGCACACACCCAGGATCAAAGCCAAAGCACCCTACCCGACCAATGTTATGCATATATCTGTAGGAAAATGTCTTTCCCTATGAAAGCTATCTACAAAACTGGAAGAAGGTACTGTTATACCAGATGCAAAGGTATCAATGTAAAGACACAAGAAACATGAGAAAGCAAGGAAATACGACACCTCCAAAGGGACACAATAATTCTCCAGTAACACATCCCAATGAAAATAAAATATGAAAGGTCTGAAAAGAATTCAACATAATGATATCTAGAAAGTTTAGTGAGATACAAGAGAACATAAGCGGACAATATAAACAAAATAGGAGAACAATTCATCATCTAAATGAGGTATTCAACAAAGAGATATCATAAAAAAGAACTAAACAAAAATCACAGAACTAAAGAATTCAATAAATGAAATAAAAAATCCAATCAAGAGCTTCAGTGTTAGACTAGATGAAACAGAATAAAGAATTTCATAAGCCAGTCACATAAAAAAAAGAGAAAAAAGAATGAAAAAGCCTAACTAGAGTCAACCCAAAAAGATCTTCACCGAAGTACATTATAGTCAAACTATCAAAAGTCAAAAGACAAAGAGAGAATCCTAAAAACAGCAAGAGACAAGCATCAAGTTACATATAAGGGAATCTCCATCAGTCTTAACAGCAGATTTTTTAAGACAAACATTATAGGCCAGGAGAGAATTAGATGATATATTCAAAATGCTGAAAGAAAAAAACACTGCCCGATAAAAATACCATACACAGTGAAACTATTGTTAAAAAAATGAATGCAAGCTGGGCCCAGACTGGTCCTGAACTCCTGAGCTGAAGTGATACACCCACCTCTGCCTCCCAAAGTGCTAGGATTACAGGCGAAAGCCACTGCACCTGACCAAAAGGTGAATTTTTAAAGGCTTTTGTTTTAAATGGAAACCAACAAAGACAAGGAGAATAAGAGAAGAGACAAAACATAAAATTTTGAAAGCTAGAAATCATTTGGATGAGTGGTAAATAAGTTAGAAGACCAAGAAAACTGAATACTAAACTGACAATGAAAAAACTGAAAACCAGTTGGGCACAGTGGCTCACGCCTGTAATCCCAGCACTCTGGGGGCCGAGGTGGGTGGATCACTTGAGGTCAGGAGTTCAAGACCAGCCTGGCCAACATCATGAAACCCGGTCTCTACTAAAACTACAAAAATTAGCAGGGCGTGGTGGTGTGCACCTGTAATCTCAGTTACTCAGGAGGCTGAGGCAGGAGAATTGCTTGAACCTGGGAGGCAGAGGTTGTAGTGAGCCGAGATCATACCACTGCACTCCAGCCTGGGCAACCGAACATCAAAAAAAAAAAAAAAAAAAAGGATGCAAAGCCAGGCATGGTAGAGTGTGACTGAGGTCTAGCTACCTGGAAGGATGAGGCAGGAGGACAAGTTGAGCCCAGGAATTTGATACTGCAGTGCACCATAATTGTGCCTGTGAACAGCCACTGCATTCCAGCCTGGGAAGCACAGCAAGACATCTCTCTTTTAGAAAATAAAAAATAAATATAAATAAATTTTTTAAAATTAAAAAACAGGTAAATAAATTTTAAAAAATAAAATGAAAGATAAAGTCTTTCCTAGATAAGGAAAAACTGAGGAAATTAATCACCACTAAACCAGCCATATAAGAAATGCTGGCCAGGTGCTGTGGCTCATGCCTGTAATCCCAGCACTTTGAGAGGCCAAGGTGGGAGGATCACGAGGTCAGGAGATCGAGACCATCCTGGCTAACACGGTGAAACCCCGTCTCTACTAAAAATACAAATAATTAGCCGGGCGTGGTGGCGGGCGCCTGTAGTCCCAGCTACTCCCGAGGCTGAGGCAGAAGAATGGGGTGAACCTGGAGGAGGAGCTTGCAGTGAGCCAAGATCGTGCCACTGCACTCCAGCCTGGGCGACAGAGCGAGACTCTGTCTCAAAAAAAAAAAAAAAAAAGAAAGAAAAAAGAAAAGAAAAAAGAAAAAGAAATGCCTAGACCAGGTGCCTGTAATCCCAACACTTCGGGAGGCCGACGCAGGCAGATCTCTTAAGCTCAGAGGTTTGAGACCAGACTGGGAAACATGACGAAACCTCGTCTCTAAAAAAATACGGAAGTTAGCCGGGCATGGTGGTGTGTACCGGTAATCCCAGCTACTTGGGAGGCTGAGGGAAGATGGCTTTAGCCTGGGAAGCAGAAGTTGCAGTGAGCCGAGACTGTGCCCCTGCACTCTAGCTTGGGTGATAGAGCCAGATCTTGTCTCAAAAATAAACAAAGAAAGTGCTTACAGGAGTCCTGCACTTCAAGGTCAGTATCTACCATGATAAAAACACATGAAAGTATAAAACTCACTGGAAAACCAGATACACAAATGACAAAGAGAAAGGAGTCAAACATTAACACTACAGAAGACCAACCAGAAAACAACTGACAAAATGACAGGAATAATTTCCATGTATCAATAATAACTGTGAATGTAAATAAATTTCCCACATAAAAGATAAGGACTGGCAAAATGGACTTAAAAAACCATAAGTTAACTACACACTACCTACAAGAAATGCAGTTCACCTGTAAAGACAAACATAAACTGAAAATAAAGTGGTAGAGAGATATTCCCTGCAAACAGAAACAAAAAATGAGCAGAAATAGCTATACCTATGTAAAATAGACTTTAGGTCAAAAACGGTAGAAACAGACAAAGAGGTAATTATATAATGATAAAGGGATCAATTCAACAAGACTGTAGAGCAATTCTAAATATATATACACCCAACACTGCAGCACCTAGATATATTAAGCAAATATTGGTAGCTCTAAAGAGAGAGATAGACTCCAATACAGTAACAACTGGGGACTTCACAACCCCACTCTCAGTATTGCACAGACATCATCTAGAAAGAAAATCAACAACAAAAATGTTAGCGCATTTAAACTACACTTTATACCTAACGGAACTCCCAGATATTCACAAAACACTTCATCTAACAGTTGCAGAATGCACATGCTTCTCATCAGCACATGCAGCATTCTCCAGAATAGAATATATATTAGGCCACAAGTCTCAACAAATTTTTTAAAGTTGAAGTCATATCAAGTATCTTTTCAGATCAAAACAGAAAATTTTCTTTTTTTCCTTTTCTTTTTTTTTTTTCAGATGAAGTTTCAATCTTGTTGCCCACGCCGTTGAGTGCAATGGCATGATCTCAGCTCATGGCAAGCTCCACCTCCTGGGTTCAAGCAATACCTCAGCCTCCTGAGTAGCTGGGATTACAGGTACCCGCCACCATGCCTGGCTAATTTTTGTATTTTTAGTAGAGACAGCGTTTTACCATGTTGGCCAGGCTGGTCTCAAACTCCTGACCTCAGGTGATCCACTCGCCTTGGCCTCCTGATGTGCTGGGATTACAGGCATGAGCCACTGTGCCCAGTCTAGAAAAATTTCTTAAAAACAAATATAAATTGGAACACAACATACCAAAACCTATGAGATACAGTAAAAGCAGTGACAAAAGGGAAGTTTACAGCAATAAATGCCTATGTCAACAAATTAGAAAGATTCACATAAACAACCTAATGTACCTCGAGAAGCTAGAAAAGCAAGAATAAACCAAACCCAAAACTAAAAGAAGGAAAGAAAGAATAAAGATGGGCAGGCCAGGCACGGTGGCTCATAGCTATAATCCCAGCACCTTGGGAGGCCAGGCGGATCACTTGAGGCCAGAAGTTCAAGACCAACCTGGGCAACATAATAAGACCCTGTCGCTACCAAAAAAAAAAAAAAATTAACCAGGCATGGTAGCACACACCTATATTCTCAGCTATTCAGGAGGCTGAGGTGGGAGGATTTCTTGAGCCCAGGAGGTTGAGGCTGCAGTAAGCTAAGACTGCGCCATGGCACTCCAGTGTGGGCAACAAAGTGAGACTGTCTCAAACAAACAACAACAACAAAAGATCAGGCAGAACTAAATGAAATAGAGACTAAAAAATACGAAGGATGAAATAAAAGAAAAATTGGTTTCGTGAAAAAATAAGTAAAATCAATAAACTACAAACTAACCAAGAAAAAAAGAGGGAAGACCTAAATAAAATTATAAACAAAAAAGGAGACAGTACAGAGGATACCACAGAAATACAAATGATCATTAGAGACTATTATGAACAACTACATACTAGCAAACTGAAAAACCTACAAGACATGGATCGATTCCGAGACTGATACAACCTACCAAGATTGAACAAAGAAGAAATTAAAAACCTAAACAGACCAATAACAAGTAACAAGATTCAATCAGCACTTAAAAAGCCTCCCAGAAAAGGAAAGTCCAGGACTGGACAACTCCACTTCTGAATTCTACTGACCTTATAAAGAAGAACTAACACCAATTCTCCTCAAAGTATTCCAAAAAAATCAAATGAAGGGAATTCTTCCTAACTCATCCTGTGAGGCCAGCATTACCCTGATACCACAACCAGACAAGCACGCAACAAAAAAGAAAACTACAGTTAAATATTCCTGAATAGAACAATACAGAACCCAAAAATCCTGAACTAAATATTAATACTAGCAAATCGATTCCAAGAGCACATAAAAAAGATTGTTTACCACAATCAAGTAGGATTTATCCCAAGGATGCAAAGATGGTTTAACATATATGCAAAATCAATAAATGTAATACATCATATCAACAGAATAAAGAATAAAAACCTTATGATCATCTCACTAGATGCAGAAAAAGCATTTGATAAAATTTAAAATATTCCTAGGAACATATCTCAACATAATAAAGGCCATATATGACAAACACACAACTAATATCATACTGAAGGGGGAAAAGCTGGAAGGCTTTCCTTTAAAAACTGGAACAAAATAGGGCAAAAGAGAGAAATAAAAGGCATCCAAACTGGAAAAGAGGAAGTCAAATTGTCCCTCTTTGCAAATGACATGATCTTATATACAGAGGACCCTAAAGATTCCATTAAAAAACTCTTAAAGAGCTGATAAACAAATTCAGTTGTTGCAGGATACAAAATCAACATACGAAAATCAGTAGCATTTCTATAAACCAATAACAAGCTAACTGAAAAAGAAATAAAGAAAGCAATCTTATTTCCAATAGCTACAAAAAAAAAAAAAAAATTCTAGGAATAAATTTAACCAAAGAAGTAAAAGATCTCTACAAGAAAAACTACAAAACACAGATGAAAGAAATGGAAGAGGACACAAATGGGAAGATATCCCATGCTTGTGGATTAAAAGAATATTGTTAAAATCACTGTATTACCAAAAACGATCTATGGATTCAGGACAATCCCCATAAAAATACCAATGACACTCTTCAAAGAAACAGAAAAAAACAATCCTAAAATTCACATGGAACCACAAAGACCCTGAATAATAGCCAAAGCAACCCTGAGCAAAAAGAACAAAGCTAGAGGCATCACACTATGACTTCAAAATATACTACAAGGCTATAGTATACAAGACTATGGAATTTGTTTAATAACAGGTACAAAGACCAATGGAACAAAATAGAGAATCCTGAAATACATTTACAAGTTTACAGCCAACTGATTTTTGATGAAGGTGCCAGGAGCATACAATAGAAAAAGGACATCCTCTTCAATAAATGACGCTGAGAAAATTGGATATGAATATGAAGAAAAAGAACACTAGATCCCATCTCTCACCATATTAAAAAAAAAAACTTAAAATGAATTAAAGACTTAAACATAAGACTGAAAACTATAAAATGACTACTAGAAGAAACAGAGGAGAAATGTTTCAGGACATTGGTCAAGGCAGATTTTATGGCTGTTATTTCAAAAACACAGGCAGAGCTTGCTTCAGCAGCACATATACTAAAATTGGAATCATACAGAGAAGATTAACATGGCCCCTGCATAAGGATGACAAACAAATTCATGAAGTGTTCCATATTTTTAAAAATATACAATACATAAGAAAAAAAGCACAGGCAATGAAAACAAAAATAGAATAATGGAACTATATTAAACTAAAAAACTTCTGCAAAGCAAAGAAAACAATAAAAAGACAATCTGTAGAATGGGAGAAAATATTTGCACTAATCATCTGACAAGAAACTAATATCCATAATATATAAAGAACTCCAGAGCATAAGAACAAATAATCCCATTAAAAAGTGAGCAAAGGACCTCAATAATCATTTCTCAAAAGAAGACATACAAGTAGCCAACAGGTATATGAAAAAATGCTCAACATCACTAGTCATCAGGGAAATGCAAATCAAGACCACAGCGACATAGCATCCTACCCCTTGTTAGAATAACTATTATCAAAAAGACAAAAAATAACCAGTGCTGGTGAGTATGTGGAGAAAAAGGAGCTCTTGTACACTGCTGCTGAGAATGTAAATTAGTACAGCCTCTATGGAAAACAGCACAAAGCATTCTCAAAAAACTTAAAATAGAACTACCAGACAATCCAGCAATCCCACTACTGGGTATTTATCCAAAGGAAAGGAAATCAATATATCAAAGGGATACCTCTAGTCCTATATTTATTGCAGCATTGTTCACAATAGCTAAGACATGAACTCAACCTAAGTGTCCATCAATGGATAAATGCATAAAGAAATACTATTCAGATATAACAAGAATGAGATCCTGTCATTTGCAACAACAAGGATGCAACTGGAGGTCATTATGTTAAGTGAAACAACCCAGGCACAGAAAGACAAATATCATATTTTTACTCACATGTGGAAGCTAAAAAACAAGGAAAAAAAAAAAATGGGAGGGTCTCATGGAGGTAGAGAGTAGAATGATAGCTACCAGAGGATGGGAAAGATACAAGGGCAGCGGGAGGAATAAAGAGAGATTGGTTAATGGGTACAAAAATTGAGTTAGATAGAAGGAATAAGTTCTAGTGTTAGCATAGGAAGGTGACTACGGTTAACAATAATTTACTCAAAATTTCAAAATAACTAGAAGAGAAGATCTGAAATGTTCCGAACACAAAGAAATGATAAATGTTTGCGGAGATGAATATCCTAAATACCCTGATTTGATCATTACACGTTGGATGCATGTATCAAAATATCACATGTACCCCATAAATATATACAATTATTATGTATAAGAAAAAAAGTTTTTTTAAAAAAGAAAGAAATGTATTTTAAGTACCTGATAAGTAGCTGCATCTAGATTTGATAGTGCCACATACAGTAAATTATTCTGAAGAGTATAGATCCCTGATGGAATAGCAAGTTTAAGTGTTTCCATAGGTTTATTAAGAATTTCATCATGTAGTACTCGATTCAGTGCTCTTAGACTACATTCTAGAAAATAATATGAGAAAAATCAGTAATTAAGTAACTCTGAATAAGTTACATATCTGCTCTCAAGATCTCAATTTTCTCACCTATAGAAAAAGAAAATTGAGCTACATGTCAAGATTCTTTTAGGACTAAAATATATCTTTATGATGCTGATTTTTTAAATGTTAAATATTATAATGTATTAAGAAACCTCATATTCTTTTATTCTGATATATAATCAAATTTATCTTATATATACATATATATAATATACAAACACATACAAACACTTATTTCTGACAGCCAAAAGCTCAAAGTTTTAATTTGTCAACCAAGCATTCTTAGTTTATTATAGCAATGTTATAAAAACTTGTATTTTGTGCATTTTGTTTATCACCAGCCATTCATGCCAGTTAGTAATTGTGAAGATTTTATTCATAAAAAGAAGGTAAATCAGTTAGGGATTGGGTTTGGTTGCAAACAACAGAAAACCCAACTAACACTAGTTCAACCCATAGGGATTTGTCTCACATAGGATGAGTCCAGATCCAAAGCTTTTATAGAGACTCAGGGACCCAGGTGTACTCTCTGTAAGCATACCTCGTTTAATTATGCTTCATTTTATTACCCTTTTCAAATATTGCATTTTCTTCCAAATTGAAAGTTTGTGGCAACCCTGCACCAAGCAAGTTGCAAAGAGTGCCACAGTGTCTAGCTATGAAAGGAGGGGAAAAGTCCCTGGGGTGGACAAAGGACTCTAAGAAAAGTGGGAAGGTGGATCCTGGAAGCAAATGAACCCACTCCTAAAAGTGACTGTCAGTCAGGCTGGGCACAGTGGCTCATGTCTGTAATTAGCCAGCGTCCTGGGAGGTCAAAGTGACAGGATTGCTTGAGGCCAGGAGTTCAAGACCAGCTTGATCAACATAATGAGAACCTGTCTCTTAAAATAAAAAAAATAAAAAATAAAAAAAGTTTTTAATTAGCTGGGTGTTGTGGCATGCACCTGTAGTCCCAGCTATCCAGGAGGCTGAGGCAGGAGGATCAATTGGGCCCAGGAATTTGAAGTAGCAGCAAGCTATGATTGCATAACTGCACTTCAGCCTGAGCAAAAGAACAAGATCCCCATCTCAAAAAAAAAAAAAAAAGTGACTGTCACTGGCTTGAAAACAAACCAGATGAGCTCTAGCACAGGCTGCCAACCAGTGGTCTGGAAGAAGGCTTGTTCTGCCACTTCTCCCACCCTGACTGCGACATTGAGACTGAAGAAAATTCAACGTGGTGCCACTAATGGGTCTAGGTGCCATCAACCAGGAGAGGAAAAAAAGAGAAAGCTGGGGCCAGAGGATTTCGGAGTTATGAGGAACCAACTCTTTCTTGGTTCCATGAATCTCTCATACAGCATTATCTTTTAAAGACCTTCCAGTATCTGCGTTGGAAATCCTCTAACCACTGCAGCTCATTCTGGCGATAAACAGGTTGAAATGAATATTCTAGGTTCAGGTGGATTATCAAAGAGAGAGCAGGATTATCTCTTTCTTGTTAATACAAGGCTGCTACAAATTAAGCCTGTGTCTCTTCATATGGCAAATTATTAAAATTATGTCCAAGAGAGGTACACTTACAAAAAAGGCATAGCAGAAAAACAAAATAACTGCATTAGAGTAGAATAACAGGCTTTAAAAATTTCTGTGATATAACCTTGATAAAAAAATTCCTGGATGGTTTATATATATATATATGTGTGTGTGTGTGTGTATATATATATATATATATATATATTAAAAAAAAAGATCTTAATATATGTCCAATTTTTGGAAACCAAAATGTTCCTGGTATGTGATAATATCAGCTAAGCACTATTCTAAGATCCATATATATATACACACACACATAAATATATGTGTGTATATATAAAAAACTATATATAAAACATATATAACTGTATATATTTTGGCTTTTTAATCTTCATGCTTTTCATCTGTTGTATACATGATTATTGCAACAAAGTCATCAAAGTACTGCTGCATCTCTAGTTCTTGTTTCAGGCAGCAAAAAAAAAAGGAGAGGAAACAGCAGCTTAGCAGGTATCTTCCTGGTTCTCATTGAACAGAATTGTGTTGCATAACTATCCATAGCTGCAAGGAAGCCGGGAAGTCATTTCCTTTATTTCCTCCACATTAGAGCCAAGAAAGGGAGAAAGGGATTGAAAATGAACTTTGAACTGGCCAATTTTATGGTATCAGTCATGAAAAATGGCCAAAGATCTTTTAGAGATACATACATAAACTCCTCAAAAAAATGAGAAATTCTAAGGAACCCTAGAATTATTTACCAATAATGACACTTTAGACAAATTTTTCTCTCAATATAAAATAGGAATAGTTTAATTATGAAAAGTTTTTTGAAATAAAAAAAAACTTTAAAATTACTACGTGGTACTCACCCTCTCCTCACCCCAAAATAATAATTGAACAATTCTTAACTAAGATAAAAGTTACCAAAAGGTTTTTTTCTTAGTTGTACCAGAAAACTAAAATATTACCTTAATTTTATGTTATTTTATTTTTTGAGATGGGGGTCTTGCTATGTTACCCAGGCTAGATCCCAACTCCCAAACTTAAGCAACCCTCCTGCCTCAGCCTCCCAAGTAACTGGGACTATAGGTGTGCACCGAACCTGATTATTTTTTAATTTTTTAAATTCAATTTTTAAATAATCACCAATTCCTGGTATTAAGACTTTCTATTTTTGCCAATTTGAGGGCAGTGAAATTGTGTCCTGTGGTTTTAATCTGATTTCCTTGATTGCTAGTGAAGTTGAGCATCTTTTTATATATGTATCTGCCATGCAGGTTTCTTCTTCTGTGAATTACCTGTATGTATCCTTTGCCCCCTTTTCTATTAAGTTTCTATTAACTGTGATTGAGTTGTCTGAGTAATTGTAATTCTGGATATTAATTATTGGTGGTTACAAGTGATATAAATATCTTCTCTGAATTTGTGACTTGTCTTCTTACTTGATTTGATTTACAGATGTTTTTCAATTTAATATACCCTAAATTATCTATGTTTTCTTTTATGTCTTATTTGTATCTTTTATATATTGTTTGAAATCATTCACAATAGTAAGGTCATAAAGTTTTGCTTTTTAAATGTCAATCTTTAATTCACCTGGAATCTATTTTTCTGTATGGTGTGTCTATAGATGCTTTGGTTCACTGAAAGTTGGTTTTACCACATTTTCACCACGTCTTTCTACAATGCAACTGTTTGTGTCAAAGATATCTTTGGCTCCACAATGTTAAATGCAGTGAATACTTCTGCTCATCTATACCTTAGCAGCAAAAACACTACTATCTCAGCTTGGCTATTACGTTTCCATTTATCTTTTTATTTTCCTTCAATCTTCATTTGCTGATTCCTCCTGTGGAATCTGACCTCTAAATATTGGGAATGCAACAGAGCTCAGTCTTTGGCCTTCTCTTCTTCTAGTATACACTAGGTGATCTCATTCAATCCTTGGCTTCAAAGCAAAAGGTAAACTGACAAATTCTTGAGTTCCATATGCATAGACTCTACTATTTGACATCTCAATGGGAATGCTTATAGCTGTCTGAAACTTAATATGATGCAAAAAGCAGCTTTAATTTTCCCCCAAACCTATTTCTATATATCATTAATTGCAGCACCCATTCACCCAATAGTTTAATCTAAAAACCTAGCAATTATTCCTCAAACTGGATCCCTCCTTTCTTCTGACTTTCACATATTCAATCTTTTAACAAGTCATGTCAGATGTAGTTTGAAAGAAAATACACAAAAAGGACCAGGTGTGGTGGCTCATGCCTATAATCCCAGCACTATGGGAGGCCGAGGTAGGCGGATCACCTGAGGTCAGGAGCTCAAGACCAGCCTGGCCAACCTGGTGAAATCCTGTCTCTACTAAAAATACAAAAAGTAGCAAGGTTTGGTAGCACGCCCCTGTAATCACAGCTACTCGGGAGGCTGAGGCATGAGAATCACTTGAACCTGGGAGGTGGAGGTTACAGTGAGCCAAGATCGTGCCATTGTACTCCAGCCTAGGCGACATAGTGAGACTCAGTCAAAAAGAAAGGAAGGAAAGGAGGGAGGGAGGGAGGGGGGGAGGGAGGGAGGGAGGGAGGAAGGATGGACACAAAAAGCCAAAAAAAAAAACACATAAAAATTCATCATCATTAGTTATTAGAGAAACACAAGTCAAAACCACAGTGAGGTAATACTTTACAACTATTAGAATGGCTATTTAAAAAAACAACAACAAAATATTAAGTGCTGGTGAAGATGTGAAGAAACAGGAACCCTTGTACTTTGCTGGTGGAGATGTAAAATGGTCCAGTTGCTGTGAAAAACAGTTTGATGATTCCTTAAAAAGTTAAACTTAGAATTACCATATGACCCAGCAATTCCACTCCTAAATGCATACCCAAAGGAATGGAAACAGGGACTCAAACAGATCCTTGTATATCTACCGAAGCATTACTCAGTTTTTTTCAGTATTATTCACAATAGCCAAAAGGTGGAAACAACCTAAGTGTCCATCAACACATGGATGAATAAACAAAATGTGCTATGTCCATACAATAGAATGTTATTCAGCCATAAAAAGGAATACATTTCTGATACATGTTAAAACATGAATAAATCTTGAAAACATTTTGCTAAGTGCCAGACCTAAAAGGACAAATGTATGATTCTACTTACATGAAACACTTAAAATAGGCAAATTCATAGAGCCAGAAAGTGAATCAGAGGTTACTAAGGGCTGTGAGTAAAGGAGAATGGGGATTATTACTTAACAGTTACAAAGTTTTTGTTTAAAGTGCTAAAAACATTTTAGAAATGGATAGTGGTCATTGTTGCACAACATTGTAAAAGTAATGACAATGAAGTGTACACTACAAATAGTTAAGATGGCAAATTTTATGTTATATGTATATACTTTACCACAGGTTTAAAAAATCAGAATTGAAATATACCAAAAAACCATTAAATAATATACTTTAAACACATAAATTACATGGCTCATGAATTATCTCAATAGAACTGTTTTTAAAAACTACATAAACTTAGTCACTGCTGGACTAATCAATAAAGCAAATAAAATAGTTGTTTACATTAGTAAAAAAATTATGATTCTTCTAAAGTTCTAACAGTAACAGATTTATAAAACTTACTCTTACTCTCAAATTATTATAAATGCAAAAAACTATTTTATATTTATAGAATTAACCAGAAGATATGAATTATGATATAGATTAAAATAAAATGGTTTTATTACTAGACTTAAAATGTCTTAAGAAAAATTTTAAAATATTGAAATGTTCTTCATACTAGGCCATTCCACAATGCAAGAGTGCAAATGTGTAGTTACCAATATATATATGTAAACTAAATAAACTGCATTGATTAAAAACAAAAAACCTAGATACCTACTGCTGTCTTTGTAGACTAATAAAATGCAGGCCATTATCTTCAAAAGTTCAGCAACAACCACTGCTGTTGAAGATAGATAACGAGGTCCTTCTTCTTTTAAAGTTCTAGAATAACGCATTGTTAGAACCAAACTGGTAGTCTGAAAGACCAAAATTCCCAGGGAAAGGTATTTTAGGTTGGCGGACATTGTTTTATCTTCATTTACCTGAAAAACAAAAAAAACAGGGCAAATAAATAAGATAACAACATATGAAAACTAGTGTATTAAAAAACACCAAGAGGGAGAAGGGAGAGGGCCTGCAGGTCTCTCCTCCACCTGCCACCAAAAGGAATAAATAAAAAAAAGAAAAAAAAAACAAACCAAGAGACTTCTTGTCCCAGACAAGATGGAATAAGCACACTCCACCTTATTCTTTCTGCTAATTACAATCAAAAACCTTGAATTGGAAACAAAAAGCAACTACTGACTCTGAAAGGTGAAGAAAATAAGGTAAATTGGCCAGAGACATCAGATCTTGAGGGATGACTCAGCAGTGAATTCTCTAGAGATTTTTTTTGCTACAGATGTAACCTACTTTGGGTGCTTCAGCAACCCACAACCTGAAACTGCTCAAAGGCATGAACAACAACAACAACAAAAGTCCCAAGAAAAACATACTTTCTCTAACCAAAGGCCTGAGAAGGCAAGAGTCTTTCAGAACAAAATCTTTTCAACTGGTTACTGTGTAATCAGCAAGAAAGAACTTAACTGACCATCCTCATCTTGAACCAATGAGAGCAGAGGTGGTGGCCCTTCCCCCTCCCACTAGGGGTTACAGCCACAGAAACTGTGGGACAGAGCCCTGCTGACCATTGCTGCCCTATAGAAGGCAAATGTTTGCAAGGAAGCAGTACTTTTCCTCCCTCCTCAGTGGCTGTCCATTAACATAGAAGATTTAAATAGGAAAGAGTTTCACAATATAATATGCAAAAAGTTCAGGAAACAATCCAAAGTAAGTATATTTATTATACCAACAAAGAAAAAAGGTCTCAGCTTGCATGAGTAAGGACAACCAACAGACAACAATGCGGAGATGACACAGTTGTTGCAATGGTCAGAAAAGAATTTCAAGCAAGCTATCTTAAAAATGCAACAACAAGCAACTATGAAGACTTAAAATAATTTTAGACTCATATAGTTTAAAAAATAGTACAGGAGTTCACATGTACCCTTCACCCAGCTTCCCCCAATGATACTAATTCAAAATCCCTATATTTTCCCTAAAGCAATTCAGTATTACTCCTGGAGACTCACTTTTAATATTAAGACATATATAGGTTAAAAAGCAAAAGGACAAAAAAAGACACATCAAGAAAAAAATAACTAAAAAAATTAAAGAAACTTTATTAATATCAGCCAAAATGGGTTACATAAGATTTATTTTTGGAATCAAAGAAGGACATTTCATCATGATAAAAGGGTCAATACATTAGAAAAATATAATCATTTTAAATATATATGTGCCTAATAACCTACCTTCAAAATACATAACACAAAAACTAACATAACTAAAGGGGAAAACAGATAAATGCAGTCATAATTAAAGATTTTTACCCTACTTTTCTCAGTAATTAATAAAATAACAACAAAAAAGAAAACCCAGTAAGAATACAGAAAATCTGAATACTATCAACCACCATTACCGTGGTAGACATAAAAATGATCTACCTGGCCGAGTGCAGTGGCTCACACCTATAATCCCAGCACTTTGGGAGGCTGAGGCAGGCGGATCATGAGGTCAAGAGATCAAGACAATCCTGGCCAACATGGTGAAATCTCGTGTCTACTAAAAATACAAAAATTAGCTAGGCATGGTGGCATGCAGCTGTAACTGTAGTCCCAGTTGCTCGGGAGGCTGAGGCAGGAGAATAGCTTGAACTTGGGAGGTGGAGGTTGCAGTGAGCCGAGATCACGCCACTGCACTCCAGCCTGGCGGGAGAGCAAGACTCCATCTCAGAAAAAAAAAAAAGAAATCTACCAGATCTTACTTGAATTCAAGGAAGGACAATGCAGAGTGTGTAATACCTGACTGCTTTCCTAGTGAAGATCACATCCTTTGTCATAGATTTAACTGAAGATTCAATTCAATTCTGAACAAAATCTCTGTAGACTTTTTTGGTAAACAAACAAACAAAAACCAAGCAAGCTTATTTTAAAATCATATGGAAATACACAGGACCTAGACTACCAAAACAATTTTGAAAAAGAAAAACAAAATTGAAAGCCTTAAGCTACCAAACTTCCAGACTTCCTATAAAACTATAGTAATCAAAACTGGTGGCTGGGCGTGGTGGCTCACGCCTGTAATCCCAGCACTTTGGGAGGCCTAGGCAGGCAGATCACGAGGTCAGGAGTTCGAGACCAGCCTGGCCAACATAATGAAAGCTCGTCTCTACTAAAAATACAAAAAATCAGCCGGGCATGGTGGCAGGCGCCTGTAATCCCAGCTACTCGGGAAGCTGAGGCAGGAGAATTGATTGAACCCAGGAGGCAGAGGTTGCAGTGAGCTGAGATTGCGCCACTGCACTCCTGCCTGGGCAAAAGAGCGAGACACCGTCTCAAAACAAAAAAACAAAATCTGGTATTGGCATGAGGACAGAAGCATAGATCAATGGAACAGAATATAGTCCAGATTTAGATCCATATGTCTCATGAGCTTAGGCTGCTATAACGAAGTATCATAGACTGGGTGGCTTATAAACACAGCAATTTATTTCTCACAGTTCTGCAGGCTGGAAGTCCAAGATCAGAGTGCTGGCATCACTGGGTTCTAGTGAGGCCTCTCTTCTGGGTTCACAGATGTCTGTCTTCTCATTGTACCCTCACATGGCAGAAAACAGAGAGTTCTCGGCGGTCTCTTTTTATAAAGGCACTAATCTCATTCATGAGGGCTCCACTTTCATGACCTAATTACCTCCCATAGGCCCTACTTCTTAACACCATCATACTGAGAGTTAGGATTTCAACATGTGAATTTGGGGAGGCAGGGGACAGAGGGAAGAGCACAAATATTCAGTCTATTAAACCACACATAAATATTGTCAAACAATATTTGACAATGGTACAAAAATAAGGAACAGTCTTTTCAACAAATAGTTCTGGACTGGAATAATGAGATATATGTATTTTTATTTATTTATTTTTATTTATTTATTTATTTTTGAGACGGAGTCTCGCTCTATCATCAGGCCGGAGTGCAGTGGTACGATCTCAGGTCACTGAAACCTCTGACTCCCTGGTTCAGGCAAATCTCTTGTCTCAGCCTCCCAAGTAGCTGGGATTACAAGCACACACCACCATGCCCAGCTAATTTTTGTATTTTTAGTAGAGACGGGGTTTCACCATGTTGGCCAGGATGGTCTCTCGATCTCCTGACCTCATGATCTGCCTGCCTCAGTCTCCCAAAGTGCTGGGATTACAGGCGTGAGCCACTGTGCCCCACCAGATATATGCATTTTTTTAAAAATAGCTTTCTACCCCTAACTTTCTCATACCAAATATTAACTAGAAATGGATCATATAGCCATTACAAAAGCTGAAACTATAAATATTCAATAAGAAAGCATAGGAAAAAAACTGTAATCATGTAGAGATAGGCCAAGCTTAGGATACAAAAAGCACAAACCATAAATGAAAAAAATTGATAAACTGGACGCATTAAAATTAAAAAATGGGCCAGGTGCAGTGGCTTACACCTGTGATCCCAGCACTTTGAGAGGCTGAGGCAGAAGCATCACTTGTGCCCAGAAGTTCAAGACCAGCCTGGACAACAAAGCGAAACCCCAGTTCTACAAAAAATTAGCTAGGCATGGTGGCATGCACCTGTGGTCCCAGCATGCAACAAGCTGAGGCAGGAGGATCAATTGAGCCCAGAAGGTCAGGGCTGCAGTGAGCCATGTTCATGCCACCACACTACAGCCTGGGTGACAGAGCAAGACTCTGCCTCAATAAAATAAAACAATAATAAATCAAAGACTGCTCTTCCAAAGATACTATAAAATAACATGAAAGGCAAACTACATTATGGGAGAAAATATTCTCAATACATGGATCTGACAATATATCCAGAATATATACAGAACTTTAATAATACAATAAATCAAAGACTGACAATCCAATTTAAAAATAGGCAAAAAGATATTTTACCAGCCGGGTGCGGTGGCTCATGCCTGTAATCCCAGCACTTTGGGAGGCCAAGGTGGGTGGATCACCTGAGGTCAGGAGTTCAAGAATAGCCTGGCCAACATGATGAAATCCCATCTCTACTAAAAATACAAAAATTAGCTGGGCATGCTCGCGGGTGCCTGTAATCCCAACTACTCAGGAGGCTGAGGCAGGAGAATCACTTGAACCCGGGAGATGGCGGCTGCAGGGAGCCAAGATTGTGCCATTGTACTCCAGTGTGAGCAACAAGAGTAACACTCCATCTCAAAAAAAAAAAAAAAAAAAAGAAAGATATTTTATCAATAAAGACAAATGAGTGACTAATAGGCATAGGAAAAGGTGTTCAACATCACAGTCATTAGAGAAATACAAATTCAGACCACAATGAGATACCACTATGTACCTATTAGACTGGCTAAATTTTAAAAACTGATACAACTAAGAATTAAAGGGGATTTAGAGCAAACAGCCCTCAACATTGCTAGTGAAAACTGTAAAATGGTACAACCACTTTGAAAAAGTTTATTAATTCCTTATTAAAAGAAAACAGCACTTTGGGAGGCTGAGGCTGGAGGATCACTTAAGGCCAGAGTTTGAGACCAGCCTGGGCAACATATTGAGACCCCATCTCTACAAAAAAATTAAAAAATTAGCTGGGTTTGGTGCTACATGCATGTAGTCCCATCTACTCAGGAGGCTGAGGCAGGAGGATGGTTTGAGCCCAGGAGGTTTGAGGTTATAGTGAGCTACGATTGAACTGCTGTATTCTAGCCTGAGCAACAGAGCAAGACCCTCTCAAATAAAAACAAAAAGAGGATAGGAGAGAGGACAGAAGGGGAGGGGAGAGGAGGGGAAGCAGAGGGGAGAGGAAACCAAGAGCAGAAAGAGAGGTAAGAAAGGGAAGGTAGGAAAGGAAGGGAAGAAAGGGAAGGAGCGGAGAGGAGGGAAAGGGAGAAGGGGGTAGGAGAGGGAAGGGAAGAGGAGAGGAGAGGAGGGACAAA